AGAGAGACGACAGACAGACAGAGAGGGAGGAAGGGGGAAGAAAGAAAGGGAGGAAGGGAGGAAGGGAGGAAGGGATGGCGGGAGGGAGGGATGGAGGGAGGGAGAGAGGAATATATATATATATATATATATATATATATATATATATACATATATATATATATATATATTATATTCACAAAAGTAAAAGGCATGCGGGATTTAATCCACGCAGCGCGATCGTCATTACAAAGCGTACCCAGTTCGTCCTTGATGCCGATGCACTCGGAGATGTGCGGGAAGGCAAGAATCTTCTTCCATTTCTTACTGCGGCCTTTGTTATTGTCAGCCCCGCCTGCAGCAAGAGAAAGAACAGTTGTAACGTCACAACAGCTAATCGCGGCGCTATACGGGAAGAAACGTCAATGAGATATCGCCTGCTCATTTCGGCGATGCTGTGCACGTGCAGAAGATGTGTTGTGGGCAAGTTTCATTGCACTATATCTGCCGTAATCGTGGTCTGCCGGCTGTTTACATGTGTCCTCACAATCTCTGGCAGTTTACGACCTCCAGCAGCTTTGTGGAGGGCCCATGTACTACAATCTCGCAGCAATTGGTCTTATCTGGTTGGAGAACCGCGATGTTATTCGGGGATTTGCGATTCACCGTCGAGGTTTCTGATAGGCACGTGGCGGGGCCTCCCTGTACAAAAGCGCCAGGATACGGGTGGGAGGCCACCGGTTTACCCCAGAGCACTCTGCCAGCACGTGTCCGCCGGCATCAAGTGTTCACACAATGGCTAGGGTGTCCGACAGAAGTGCAAGCCGCTGACAGCGCTTGGATGACCCACTAACCTGCGATTTCGATAGCGCATTCGGCGCACTCCAATGTAATCACGAGCGCTGTGACTATCGCATGCTACCAAACGTGTAGAAACGCGACAAGGCTCCGACGAGGGCTCGAATTTACAACGTCGAAAGCGGGTGCCATGCGCCGCGGGCGTAGAAGTCCGAGCTAAGCGAATGCTGCGCTTCAAAGACCTGGTGCGCCATAAGGCTTTGGGTTCTCCCACAGGACGGCTTTGCGCCGCGCCGCTCTGCCCGCACGTCGGCGGCAGACGCGGCGCAGGCAGCGGCTGGGACGGCGCGGCGCGCTTAGTGGCGCAACCGGACCGTGAAACGCCGCCGAGCGCCTGCTGACGCTCGCCGCCGGCGCGCGAGCGAGCGCCGCGCGCCCCGCGGCTGCGCACCTGGGGGCCGGGCTCCCACCGGACTGCCGCCGGGCCGCCCAGCGTGGGGCTGCGAGCCGCCGCCGCCGCGAGGCCCGCCCGCCGACAAGCCCGCCGCCCGGCCGGACCGGTTTAGCCCGGACGAATCAATTGTTGGGACGGTTGTGACGGCCAGCCGGCTGTTGACTCGGGCATCCGACCAACCCAGCGGCTTCGCCGGTCACGCGCCGGTATTGAGGCTCGGCGCCTGGCTAAAGGTCAAAGCTGGACTGACGGCCGGTGTGCGGGGCTCGGCCCGCTTGTGTCCTGCCGCCTGGCTTTTTGTGTCATGTCGCTTGGCCCGCTTGTGTCCTGCCGCTTGACCCTCTTACGTCCTGCCGCCTGGCCTTTTGTGTCATGTCGCTTGGACTGCTTGTGTCCTGCCGCTCGGCCCGCTTGTGTCATGTCGCTTGGCCCGCTTGTGTCCTACCGCTTGGTCTTCTTGCGTCCTGCCGCTTGGCCTTTTGTGTCATGTCGCTTGGACTGCTTGTGTCCTGCCGCTCGGCCCGCTTGTGTCATGTCGCTTGGCCCGCTTGTGTCCTGCCGCTTGGTCTTCTTGCGTCCTGCCGCTTGGCCTTTTGTGTCATGTCGCTTGGACTGCCTGTGTCCTGCCGCTTGACCCGCTTGTGTTCCGCCGCTTGGCCCGCCTGCGTCCAGCCGTGCGCACGTAAAGACAGATGCGGCGCATTGTACCAGGCGAACGCATGCGATGTGACAGAGCGCCATATTTGCCCCACGATTGAGGGTTTTTCCTTTCCAGTCGGTAGATTTGCTGGAATAGGCTATACGTGAACAATGCCTGACATAACAAGACAGAAAATGCCCTTGGAGCTGCTACACTAATTTGAATTTCACAAACTGTTACTTTCCCTTGTCGCACCGACGTCGACCGGCATGGGGAACAATATGCTGAGATAGGTATCGCGTCAATTCCCCAACAACTGTTACAGGCACCATGTGGCGCGACATACATGACGATAACCCGTACAGGCACACAACACCCGTAAGTTCTCAAACACTTGACCTCTCCACGGACTTGATAAATCCATGGTCTTGACTGGAGCAGATCGGAGAATTCCCATAACAAATGGGTTGGGATTATATTTAAAAACCGGTTGGCCGCAGGAACTGTCGTCGTTGTCATTGGAGCTTTACGACGCAATAACTTGCTGTGGTTATATGGCGTCGCGTACCTCTCACCCTGTCAGGAGGGGCGGGCACCGCGGCTAATCGAGCCACATGCCTCTGGTTTCCCAGACGCTTAGCTTAACCCTACACTAGCGGCACCCCGTCAAATGGATTGGAAAGGATTGGAAGGCTGAGTGTCAGCATTAAGCACAGGCTGAGCCGATATACGCTACTTAAACTGGGATGCAACGTGGGTTGATATGGATTGTTGTCATTGGAGCTTTACGAAGCACTCAGCAGCTGAGGCTATATGGCGTCGCCTGCCTCTCACCCTGGCAGGAAGGGCAGGCACCGCGGGGAATCGAGCGTCTGGTCTCCCAGATGCCCAGCGAAACCATTGCGACACCGGCGCCCCATTCACATGGATTAATTACAGATATATTTTACTGTGATGGAGTGGACCCGGTCGGATTTGAAAGTCATGCGGGAAGTGGACTCATGGGCCGACTGGAGTCCAGTTCGAGCAACTGAGACTCTCAAAACATGTTTGACCGCGCGCTCTACCCGACACAGCGCACCGGCTGCGGACTTCTCGCGCAACTGGGGGAGGGAATGGGAGCGCATGCGAACAGGCCCGGAGACCGACAGGGGACCCACCTCTTCCCCCTGCCCTGCCCTGCCCTGCCCTGCCCTGCCCCGCCCTGCCCTCTCGCCCCCATACCCCGCCCGCCGGCCTGCAGCGGCGGCGGCCAAGTTCAGAGCGCCTGCTGGGACAGCGACGGAAGCGATAGCAGGCCGCCCTTCCGGCGCCGGTTCGTCTGGCCGGCGGCGGCCGGCGTCTCATGGCGGTACGGGACGGCGCGCTGGTGGCGCGCTCCAGCTGCAGGCGACGCGGCCTGCCGCTGCCTGCCGCTGCGCGCCGAGCTTGGCAGGCTCTCGCGAAAGCGGATTTCGCAGTCGGTTCGCTGTTATGAAGTCGGAATGCGTTCCAGGAGCCATTCGGCGCCGAACTCAGC